CTTTTTAGAATGTTTATCTTATATGGCAGCAAAAAACTCTCAATATTTGTTGTAAAAACTAAATGGTTTTCATCGTTGTACAGCTCGACTTTAAATGTATGCATTGATGTTAATCGATTTCCTAGAAATAAACGACTTCATTAGAAATAAAAACAACTTTTATTTATTTAATTTTTTTCTTCCTATCTTACATATTTTAATAACTTTAGGTTATACAAATTGTTTACTAATTATTATTTTTCAAGAATAGCAGGCAAATTAACAATTCTTACCAGAACTATAGATTAAAATTTGATAAATAACTCTTGGCCATTCAAACGTTGATTCCCAAATAAATTTTTTTTCCCGGTTCGACAATGGTGAAACAACCGATGTCATCTTTGTCATCATCAAACACTCCTTGCAAATGTGTAGCAGCAGTTAATGGAAGTCGTTGGCCATTCGAATAAATTACTATGTTAGACTCTTTAATAATATTTCTTCCTGGTTAAGTGTTAAAGTTTAAAATATAAGCTCATTTAAACTAAATTGTAGTTTACCAAACACACACAAACACACACACACAAACACATACACACACACACACACACACATATATATATATATATATATATATATATATATATATATATATATATATATATATATATATATATATGTAACTAGGGGAAGTTACCAGAGACATAAGAACGCAGTACAGCGCTGTCAACTTTGACACGACTGATGTAATAACGCAGGTGTTGGCTGATAACGATCAGAAAGCCAAGGCGTAGTATCTTGGGAAGCGATACGAGAAGAACGCAATACGGTCTGTCAACTTTGATGTGACAGGATGCAGATGGCTTATTAAATCGGACTGTACGACAGAAGCGGCGTAATTAACATTCTGATGCAACGATTAGAATCGAGTACGATTACGATTATGATAGAACCGAATACGATTACGAATACGAAGGGGATATATAGGAAGGCGACGGCTGAGCTCGGTGGGCTCTCTCTCTCGATCAGTCAGTCAGTGTGGCAGTATCAAGTTGGTTATTGAACGGGTTAGCCGTATTGTGTTAAGAAGGACGATAGACATGTGCATTCAGTTATGTGAAGACTAGTGAGGACTGTTGGGGGTCAGTTGATTCAGACTATTATTGTGAAGCATTCCTTTTGATTCATTATATTATTGTGAAGCATTTCTTTGATTCATGTAATAAAAGGATCAATAGCGAACCTGCATCTTCGAGTATCTATACTGTGGTCGATGTTGTGTAGAATGAGTGGTTAGACTCGGTAACATTTGGCGTTGTCGAGCAGAACTCGTTAACATTTGGCACTACAGGCAAATAGTCTCGTTACATATATATATATATATATATATATATATATATATATATATATATATATATATATATATATATATATATATATATATATATATATATATATATATTAAAAGATATTGCATTGCAACACTTACCGCCATTCACTATTATGCCACAAACTGAGACAAATGAGTTCAATGTTATGTTAATTTCAGTCACAAATGAATCTGTGTCACATTCTGTCTCCAAATTGAAATTATCGATCCAGTAGGTCAATTGCTTTCCACATTTTATTATGACTCCATCCAACGAAGTAAATATAATAGATAAATTGATTATTTTTCCTAAAATATAGTAAGTCAAAAGCTTTTAAACAATAAAAAATAGTAATGACTAAAGAATCAGAAGTTTATTACAATTTTATGTTAAGCAGAGTTTTTAAAGATTATACTAATAATTGTTTGGTATTTCAAAAATATGAATCTTTGATTTAACATTGGATAAACGCTAAGATAATATTTTCAATACAAAAGTTAAATGCATAATACAATATCTAACGGTCCCCTTACTTTTCTTTATATTTATATTTTAAAAATGTACATCGACGGTCTGTCAATATGTTGTCAGTCTGTCGTCATAGATCAAAACGCTCGAATGAAATTTCGAGCACCTCTAACTGACAGATTCAGTTCAAATCTGGCAAGTAGGCCAAAAAATGAAGACAATGCATTATAGCACTAAATTTGATCTCATTATTCCAAAACATTTATTCATGAACTGATTAAAATTGCGTCCATATGAGTAGGCTGTCTTAATCAACCATTCCGCACAATAATACTCACGTAATCATGTTCATTAGGTATGCAATAATTTTCTAGTTACGCAACTCTATTGTAAATTTTTTAAATATTGAAAAAATATAACCAGGTGTGATCTCCCCTAAATTTTCTCGAAAATTCCTATTTAACACTACGGTGAATGGCAACTCTGGATATAGACGTGATTTTTTAAACATTTTAATAACATAATAGAATGTGGTAGAAAAAAAGTTGCTCACAAGCGAACGGTAAACAATATGTGAATAATAGTGCAAAATATTATTAGTACTTTATAAATTTATATGCGTTTTTTGAGAAATCGGAAATAGCGTAAATTACTACTTCCGTTCAACGAAAATTACTAAACTTTTTACCGAAGGCAGAAAATTAGATCTTTTACGTAAAAATAAAATAATAATGGCTACTTCAGGTTACAATTCAGAAAACACTGAAAACTTGATAAAGACCTACAAATTTGACAAAATACATACATATATATATATATATATATATATATATATATATATATATATATATATATATATATATGTATGTATATATGTATATATATATATATATATATATATATATATATATATATATATATATATATATATATATATATATATATATATATATATGACATGACAAATGATCTTAGACAACATATCTCAGACAAAATATCTCACGGACTAATGATCTCAGGACAAATGATCTGAGGAGAAATGATCTCAAGGACAAATGATCTCACGGACAAAAGATACCAGGACAAAATATATATTGCACTAAACTATTTAAAATTAATATTACTGATATAGTATGTAAAGATTAAAGAAATTTTTCGATAGATAACGTAGGTGAGCTTGTCAAACATGAGACAATCCTACCATGTCAGGTGGACGAAACTTAATCAAAGGGAATTAAATAACAATAAAGACACACATTCGTATCAAGTTGGTTCCCAGCTTTGATGGCAGACATGCCTTAATGAAAAGACATCCGCCCTCTATAATACAACTAGCATCTAAAGTCAATAATTATGCGTTGGTCACACCTTCGTGATCAAGTGGAAAATTCTTATTGAAACAACAGTATTAGTTGGATGACCCAGCTATGGCTTCTTTCGTTACCTCGCAGAAAGTGTATAGGACATTAGTTTCTGGTGAATTTATGTTTATAAAAGCCAGAACCGGAGCAGCACGCACAGAGATTTGGAAATGTGAATTTAAGACATGTCAAGCAAGAGTTCACATAATACATGATTACATAGTAATGGAGAGGTGCGATCATAACAATATACCTGCCGGTATAGAAACGTAAGCGTTATGTTTGTGTAGCTGATGCAATAAAAACAATAGTTTTACTATAGGAACACATTTCGCGTGTTTTGAACAGCAATGTTACTTAGCTAACGTTACTTTATTTGTGTTATACATCATCATTTATTATGCATTTCATAAGATTGTTTTAATTTTAACTTTTTTGAATCAAATGCTATTACAAAGAGTAAATTAAATAAATATTTTGATGCTTTGTTAAGTTTAAGAAAATTATTTTATTTACAATTATTATGCGTAAAAAAAGGAAACAAAACCATATTGACAGTCAATAAAAAAAATTCAAATCAACTAAAATCATCGTACATATTATTAAAATTTTGCTGTGAGATATTTTGTCTGAGATATTTTGTCTGAGATCATTTGTCCTGAGATCATTTGTCATATATATATATATATATATATATATATATATATATATATATATATATAATTTCAACAACCTTGCGATAACGTACTCAAGTTATCGTGTTGACTTGACAGAAAGACACACATACATACACACATACACATGCACAGACATTCGGACAAAATTGCAAAATTATGTTTTTCAGACTCATGGACGTATGAAAAGATTTCTTTTTTTGTAGGATTACAATATTCCTCTTATCTTCATATACACGAAAATAAAAAGAACAGGAATATTATATAATAGTGTTATTTGAAAGTTGTGTAAAATCGGGTCGTAAAAAAAGCTACATAAATTATAGTATTCTAAAAAGTATTTTTTCTCTTTACTAACCCATGTGGCATAAATGAATGATAACAAGTAAAATTTAAAGTCTATCATAAATCCAAGTCTCAAATTTGTAAACGCAATAAAATATCTAATTACTTACTTTTTACTTCGAATTTTATTAGAACTGATTTAAAATAAAACTCATCCATAAACTTCATCAGAATATGATTTGTGTATGAACAGCTTTCAGCTTTAAGTAAACTTGCGGGCATTGTTTCAGTTGCAGAAAATGTAAGATCTCCTAAATCAACAAAATTATAAATAATAATTGTGAATTTTAATAAATACACGAATACTCCAATAACCAATGAAATGTCGATCAAATAAAAAAAATGATTTAAGAACGGATGAGAGGTTAACATAATAGAAATAACATATGAATGAGTGGCTAGGTATTTTATTTTAATTTTACACATTTTCTTAGATCGCGGTTAAAGCAACTTTTTTGTCTTAAAGTAATGGGTTAGTGATATATGGGGAATTTATTTTAGCTTAATGTTACTTAGCTTATGTTTTATCTACATTTATTGAGAATCGTCTGCAAATATTGAGCTATTAAAATTGGTTTAAATACACACATGGAGATGGATATGTCGGCTCTGAATATAGCGTAACGGAAAAATGCGAAAAGGAAAAGGCTCTAACAGTAAAATACGCACACAAAAAATATGTGATGAGGTAACTGCGCAATAAAAAAAATCACTCAACTACAGAACTGCGTACAATGAAAAATGTGTACATAGAAATATGCGCATACTGGTTATTATTTTAAAAATTCTTGTTTATATCTTTGTTAATTTGACATAACAATGCCTAATACTTACTGTATACACAATCAGGACCATACCAGCCCGACTGACAACCATGGCCTGGAGACATTTCTGAGGGTAATAAGATTTTAACAAACTTAAACAGTACATCATTAAGACTAAAGAAAAAGCAGAAAAAGAAACACAACAGACCAAGAAAAATAAACCGGGAGTGATCTCCCCTAAACTTTCTCGAATATTCTTATCTAACTCGGAATATGGACAAGATTTTTAATTACTTAAACTTTTAACAATAGGATAGAATTTCGTAGAAAAAAAAGAATTGCGCACCAAGCGAACGCCAAAACAAAATGTGCATAAAAGTGCACAATATTATTAGTACTTTATAAATTTACATGCGTTTTTTGAGAAATCGGAAATAGCGTAAATTTGTACTTTCGTTCAACGGAAATTACTTAAAATTTAACAGAAGGTAGAAAATTTGATTTTTTACTTACATGTGAAATTTCATTTATCTATCTGAAATAGTACTCAAGTTATAGGCTTTTCAAAAATTCAAAGTAGAAAAAGTACCACTTCCGGTTATTGGAAATCGCTCAAAAGTTGATACGGATCTACGATTTTGATAAAATACTTATATATGACATTTTATCAACCTAGCTGTAACGGTACTCAATTTATCGTGTTTACACACGGACACACGGACTTACAGACAACGGACAGAATTGCAAAGTCCAGTTTTTACTACTCGATAACGCATAAAATGCCAAAATGTTTATATATTTGTATTTATAATTTTTGCCTGATTAAAATAAGTCCTCTATACTCCAGATGTGATGAAGGACTGAGGAGTAAAACGGTGAAAACTGTCGAAATGGCATGTTATTTTTGTGCACGATTACAATACTTTCTCTATACTTCGTATATACGAGAAAGTAAAAAGAGGGAGTGATCTCCCGTAAACGTTTGCGAATATTCTTATATGAGACATTGGGGGAATATCAACTCGATGCATAGACATGATTTTTAATCAATTTTTAATTGCTTAAATTTTTAAAAATAAATAGAATGTTGGTAGAAAAGAGAATTGCGCATCAACTGAACAGCAATCAATATGTGTATAATAGTGTGGAATATTAGTACTTTATAAATTCACATGCTTTTTTTGAGAAATCGAAATAGCGTAAAGTACTAGTACAGTTAAACGAAATTACTAAAACAAAATTGACAGAAAGCAGAGAATTAGATTTCTAGTTATATATGTGGAATTTCGTTTATCTATCGAAACGGTATTAAAGTTACAGGCTTTTGAAAACCAAAAGTGGTATAAGTTCCACCTTCGGTTACCTGAAATCGCTGAAAAGTTGATGCAGAATTACCTATTTTATACTTATGGAAATAAACCGTGAGTGATCTCCCCTAAACTTTGTCAAATATTCTTATATATCACTATGGGGATGGCAACTCGGGATATAGACAATATTGTTAATCAACTTTTAATTATTTAAAAAAATAGAATAGAATCTCGTAAAAAACAAATGCGCACCAAGTAAACGCAAAACAAAATGTGTATAATATTGCGGAATATTATTAATCTATATATATAAAGCAAAGTGTTCAGGTGCCCGATAGGGCACTTCCTGGAGCCGCAGGCGCGTCAAATTTGGCACTATGGTGCCTTAGGGCAATAAAACACGAGGGCAGGTGACGGTTGGCCGAAAAGTCTACGGAGAGGGAGTCAAAACTGACCTCGACTGACCGGCGCCTTACATGGGCTATATTACGAAAACAACTTTGGCCGAACGACCCCCCTTGATTTTTTGTGAGGTGGTAGGAGATTGCCTAGGGGTGTAAGAAAAAACTCGGCATATCCGTGGGTCAAACTGACCAGTCGTATTTCCCTATATAATCTTGTATTTTATAGGAAAAACAGGTTAGTTTCAACACAAATTTTAGGATACTCAACCTCTATTTATCTGGCCATTTTTTTGCATGCTCCCATATAGATGAGTAGCCGTATTCTGTTAGTCAGAATCAAAGCACTCGACGAGGGTTAAAAAGTGACCGCGAGTGAAAATCTCATTATATAAGATATATATTAATAAATTGACGAACGACCCCCCCCCCCCCCCTTATATTTTGTCAAGTCGTAGGCCGACACTGGAGAGTAACAAAAAACTTTGTTCCCGTCGGAAAAACCTTTTACGTTCGTTAGATTATTCCAGATACCGTTTTTTCTTATATAAACAATTTTCTGTGAAAAATGTAAACAAAGACTACGACATTTGGTCTTTGTAAAGGGGCGGTAATTTATTAAAGTAATATTTTAAAAATAATGTTTTTACTGTTTAAAAAAAATAAAAATTACCAAGTATAGGATTCGTTTAAATAAATTTTTCGTTATAAATTAAGTTATTTATTGTACTGAAATTGTAAAACATTAATTGCAAACGTCAATTTAATATAATCTAAGATCTATACTATTATAGAAGCCTTTGCTGTTCTAATCACCTTGCGAGTAATAAGTTTGCGAGTACATCCCAATGTTTGCATGACCTGAAATTACTCAGACTGTTTTAATTTAGGCCCTAAGCACTCTATATAACAGCCAACCACCAATTAATTAATCATTCAAATGCTCAACAGTCTTTTTGAAAACGTAAGCGAAGCTAGGCAGTATGCCTAGTACTTTATAAATTCACGTGCGTTTTTGAGAAATCGGAAATAGCAAAAATTAATATTTCCAGTAATCGGAAATTACTAAAAATATGACAGAAATGCAGAGAATAAGATCTTTTACTTACATGTGAAATTTCATTTATCTTTTTGAAATAGTACTCAAGTTATAGACTTTTGAAAAATTGAAAGTAGAAAAAGTTCCACTTCCGGTTATTGGAAATTGCTCAAAGTTGATACGAATCTACAATTTTGATATACTTATGTATAAAATTTTATCTACCTAGCTGCTAAGATACTCAAGTTATCGTGTTTACACACACACACACACACACACACACACACACACACACACACACTTAAACACACAGACACACGGACACGATTGCAAAACTGAGAAAGTAGAGAAAGTTATTGCAAAACAATGAAAACTGATGACTATTATGTACCGCTTTAGTTTGTTTGTCGACAATGTTTCTAGCTGCTCGAATATTTGACAAAAAGAACATAAAGAATAATTTCTATAAATAAGTGTTCAACAACTCAATGTCAAATAATATTCTCTCTTAGACTGGTAGAACTAAAGTGATGAATATTAATAATGATAGAGTGAATACAATTAATTAATTATGACAGGGGATGTGATTTAAAGGAAATAAGTGTATTACTAACTATGATATTTGAGTTGACATTTAATTTATTTTATTTTATTTCTCCTTCTTTTTGTGCTAAAGGGCCGTTTTTTATTTAGATTACACAAATAATACGATGTCTTATGATAATCAATAGTACTATCCTATAGAACAAAATCAGTTTGTTGTAACCAACTCAAATTTAGTTAAGTAGTTTAATTTAAGTGCGAAGGTTAAATTAGATTTCAGCGAAATATTATGACATCATGTACAGCGTTAGTGTTTTTGTGGCTAAGGCATAATGAAAATAACAAACATAGAAACAGCAGTTATGATAAAAAAAAATTGTCACATCGTGGCAAAGCACTTTTAAATTCTTTTGATTGTTAGAGCAATTTATTAATGTTGGTTGCACTATAGCCGCGACGCAGTGAAGGCGGCGCGGCGTCTTGCTACATTTTTAAAAATACGCTTTTGTCTGATTTAGTGTGTTCAATCCTGTGCTGCTGGGTTATCATTTTACAAACGAATTAGAAACAGTCTTAGCGGCGAAATTAAAACCCTACTTATAGTCGCTGATGTTTTACTTCCATTCAACACACCTTATTTATACGATGTGCTAAAGCGATTACGCAATAAAGAAAGTGAGATTAATTTTATAAAACTTTGAGATAAAATGGTATTTCGTTGTTCTTAATAAGAAGAAAAAATGTGTTTACACTTTTCATAATGCAAAAACACAATTATTAAGTATATCTACTTGGTAACATATAATACTAAAAAAAATATGTTTTATGTGTAAAAAATTTTTGATTATCATAAAGAAAAATTCATATTTATTAATATAGCCTACTAGATAATATATGATATTAAAACTTTTTCGGTGAAACGGCCTTCGTGCAAGGGGCTTTCAAGTAGCCTATTTGTCGCATAAGGGCAAGTGTCCTTTAGGGCATTTGTCGCATTCTGGCATTTATGTTTAGTATGGGGTTTAAGATGTGGTGTGGGTGTGGTTGATAGTTTATGGTGTCGTGAGTGTTGAGCTTCGTTCTTTTTATAATCTCAACTTCATTCTTTTTAATCCCTGATTTTTTAAATCACTGTTTACTTCAAGAGAATCTTTTAAAAAACCGTTGTTTTATGTTTAGCGCCATTTGTTTCTATCCCTTAAGGGAACCTTTCAGAGTGTCACACCATGGCAAAGCACGGGTATGCTGCATTATGCATTATGTCTGTATGTGTATAGATATATCAGTATTTACCTACGCATCTTCCATGAGGCGTCCACAGTTTGTTTGCTTGACACGTGATTACACTGTTACCGTGAGCTTTATAGCCTGTTTCACAGATCATACGACAAGTACTTTCGTATTCATAGCTGCATGAACTCCAGATGCCATTCTCTATGATAGGCGGTGAGGGACACTGAACTTCTGCCAAACGTTAAAATCAAATTACATAGTATAAAACAAATCATTAATACTGATTGCCAATGAATATAAATGATATTTCTGTAGCTATTTTTAGCTATTTTCAATATATTTATTGATAAATCTACAAGTTTTATAAATGTTTGTAATTTTTAAATTAATTAGAAGTTTCATGAATAATGAATTATGTTTGTTCTTAGTAGTTGTTACAAAACGTTGAAGATTTAGCTATATATATATATATATATATAAAGCAAAGTGGTCAAGTGCCCGATAGGGCATTTCCCGGCGCCGCAGGCGGTTCAAATTTGGCATCAGTCTGCCTTGGGGCAATAGAACACGAGAGCCGGTGCGGTTGGCTGAAAAGTCCACGAAGAAGGGGTCAAAACTGACCTCGACTGACCGGCGCCTTATATGGGCTATGTTACAAAAAAACTTTTGCCCTACGACCCCCCCCTTGATATTTTGCGAGGTGTAGGAGAACGCCTAGGCGTGTCACAAAAAACTCGCCATGTCCGGGAAAAGTCGAGAAACGGGTCAAAACTGACCAGTCGTATTTCCCTATATAACCTTTGTATTTTATGGGAAAAATAGAGAGTAATATCAAAACAGATTTTAGGGTACTTAAACTCAGTATATTTAGCTAATTTTTTGCATGCTCCTATGTAAATAGCTTGACCTTTAGGGAAAACTGTCGGTTTGACTCAAAGCCCTCGACGAGGGCTAAAACATGACCGCGAGTAAAAATCTCCTGAGCTATATAACGAAAACATTTCTTGCCGAACGACCCCCCCCCCCTTTATATTTTGTGAGGTGGTAGGAGAACACCTAGGGCTGTCACAAAAAACTAGCCATGTCCGGGAAATCTTCGTAAAGGGGTAAAAACTGACCAGGCGTATTTCCCTATATAATCTTTGTATTTTATGGAAAAAACAGAGGATTTTTGGGTACTTAAACTCAGTATATCTGGCTAATTTTTTGCATGCTCCTAAGTAAATGGCTTGAACTTTGTTTGAGAAAAATAATTTATAAAATAGTTATTGGTCAAAACGCAATGTGCATTACTACACGCTGAACGATATTACTGACAAAGCAAAGAAATAACTAATTAGCTAAAAATCGCACACATTTAACATAACACAGGCACACACTGATTAAGTGACTTAAATGATTCCGTTAAAAACTCGTCTATTCCACGGTATTCTTCTTGTTTTTAAAGTGATTTATTTTTATTAGGTTTTTATAAATAGATCTATAGATTTAAATGAAATAGTTCATGTATTCATCGGTAACCATGCCATATTAAATGCACTCGCTGATTAAGAGACTTAAAGTTAAGAGACTTAAAAGATTTCTTTAAAAACCCGGCTGTTCAATGGTAGTTCTGTTGTTTTTAGTAGATAGATCTGGATTCTAGTCTAAATCCAGACCATAGCGTCTACGTCTAGTTTTTCCGTAGATCTAGTCTAGATTGTAGAATCGAGATCTAGATCTATATCTAGAATCCAAATAGTTAATATAAAAACTTAAAAAAGTTTAGGCCGAGAAAATCGTATTGTATACATTTCATAGCGTACGTAGAATCTAGCTCTAAATCGTATTTGAATAAAATAGTTCATTTCTTTATTTTATTCTAAACTCGGAAGATGACGTCATCAGTTTCGTGCTCTGTTTTTCGTGGCTTTTTAACTCTGTTTGCTTTAGAATCAATGATGTCATTATATTGTGCTAACTTTTCCATCTTTCGAACTGTAAATATTTCGTTTCCTTTTGAAAACTTTCTATATGTTTCCTATTGTGTCTTTCGCTATGCAATGTTTTAAATTTCCTTGTGTTTTCTACAGAGCGTTCCCGACAGAAAGAAAGACAGACAGAGAGACGTAATAGCTTAAATATTATAGTTAACTAAATCAATCAAGTTTATGCTGTAGAAAGCTAATGAGACTCATTTTGCTAATGTGTGATACGTTCGTTTCTCTAAATCTACCCTGGACACTATAATACAGGGCATTAATTATGCTTGTATTATTGTATGATTGTGATTTGTAGTATGCAATATCTACCATGAAGTTTTAAGAGTATTCACTAAACGCTTTAGCAGTTGCCTAGCTACATATGCAAATAGTGCAAATGAGGCCTCCGAAGACCGTAAAACGGCCAATATTTAATTATATATATATATATATATATATATATATATATATATATATATATATATATATATATATATATATATATATATATAATTTCAATAAAAATATATATACCCTATATATACATATATATATATATAGTTATATAGTTATATATATGATTATTGACTAATAATTCTAATATATAAAAGACCAAGTGCGCACTTCTCTCTTCCTCTCTCTCTCTCTCTCTCTCTCTCTCTCTCTCTCTCTCTCTGTCTGTCCGCAAAATATTTTCGCCAGACATCACATCAGAATCTGCAGCGATATATGAAGAACTTTATACCGACTTTTGTTGAAAATAATATATTAGATGTTTTAAATGTATAACCACAATTTTATTTAAAGAAGAAAAATAAAAAAATAAAGGCGTATTCGAATGTAGAGAAACAGTTTTAATTATACAACCGGAAAAACGTTTATGGTTATGAAAAAATACATTAGCTAATGACGTCACCTGCCGTATTTAGAATAAAAAGAAATGAACTATTTCATTCAAATTTGATTAAGATCTCCGTACGCTATAAAATTTATACAATACAATTTTGCTCGGGCTAAACTTTAATAAAAATTCTATTAGGATTCTAGATTTAGAGATTCTAGATCTAGATCTAGATGATCTAGATCTACGGAAAAACTAGACTTACACAGATGTAGACCCTACCTAGATCTTGAATCTATTTAAATAATACTTTTCTATACTAAAGTATTTCAGGCCTTAATTACTTTATTGAAATCTTTGTTTATCTATGCAATTTGCTAATCTCTATAATATATAAAGCAAAGTTGTCGGGTGCCCGACAGGGCAATTTCCGGCGCCTCAGGCGCTTCAAATTTGGCAGGATCTTGCCTTGGGGCGATAGAACAGGGGGCCGGTTGGCCGAAAAGTCTACGATGAGGGGGTCAAAACAGACCTCGACTGACAGGCGCCTTATATGAGCTACAAATCGAAAAAAAAATGTCCACGTAGGGACTTCTTCATAACTCCTGAGGTCGTAGACCGACCCTCAGGCGAATTAATTAAGCATTCAAAGTCTCAATGTTTTCGAAAGCCTAAGTGAAGCTGGGCAGCATGCCTAGTTCTTATATAACACTACGGGGGATGGCAACTCGGAAAATACCATGAGACTTCTTCCAGAAAATTGGCACAATTTAAATTTTAGTATATGCATGACCTCACGATATCTTTCGATAATTATGATTTTAGAAACTCGGATATGGTTTGTGATAGGAATGGTGTTTTGTTAACGAAAAAATGGTTAGTTTGTGTTTTCCTACTTGAGCCACAGTCATCTCTTTTGTATCCCACAGCACAGCCTGATTGACATGCCCCAGTAGATGGCATACACGAATCTGTGACATTTCTACAATGACATGTTCTGTTGCATTCTAGACCGAAATGTTGGCGTTCACACTTGTTATCTAAATAGCAGAATTGATAATGAGAAACGCTATGACAGAATAAGTTAATAAAACATGTACAATTTTTAGTTTGGACAGGTAAAAGGTTGGTTGTGCTTGATTAATTGCATAACATGCTAAATGTTGTTTCTAATATTTACGGTCGGTTCCCAAAGAAATTATAACTTTGGAATGTGTTTAGTTAAATGAATGTTATGCTAAACAAAGAATGTTATATTGTTTATGCAGACTGTACTATGTAAACTGATTAATTCGACTGTTTAAACTCGCTCCCTCACAGTTCTTAATCATTTCATTCAATACTTTTACCTCCCCATTAAAGATTTACAATAGGATCATGTAACAAATTTCATTTTCTACCTCCAAATATTTCAACTTCACACAGTGTTATTACTTCAACTCTTGGCAAATAAATCTGCACATGATCAACAAGAACGCCCTTTATACTCCAGTGATATATGTCCTGACCTTCTTCTTGAGCATCGCTGTAGATATATTTTAATAATCCACCTTTTGTGTCTTGCGCTTCTAATACAAATCCAACCAGACGTGACACGTAAGTCACTGGAAAAAAAAGACGTGGTCTTTGATGTTACTTTAAAAAATTTAGAGTTGTAATTTAACAAGTTAACGGGAAATGCTCAAGAAAAAAACCAATGAAATTCTGATTTTTTGTTAAAATGGGTTTCTTTCACTTTTTGTTTGATTGTCCATTTCTTAATTCAGAAATAAAAACATAAATTATAAAAAAGGTTTTAAAAAAATATTTGTATGAGCGTATATGTGAAAAATAATCATATTTTCCCATTATTACACGTTAACTACAAACTGTTGCTGACCTAGATTCTCATAGTTTTTCCTGTTTTTCTCAGTTTGCAATTTTTCGACAATAAAGCCTACTTCTTATTCTTAATGTAATAATAAAACTTTTTCATGAGGGACTTTTGACAGCTTTCAAAGATAAAAAAATGTATTGTACAAAATATGCCCATTATTAAAATTTTCGAATGTAACGTATAGTGCAATATTTTGGACCTTGAAGAATTCAGAGCAATAGTGCTATCAAAACGTTGTCGTGACAAAAGTTTTAATATGTACTGTGATATTAGCAGTGTAGATTAGATTGCTTTAACTACATAAAAAAAAGCCTTAGCGTTTATAAAAGTGAGGAATAATTCAAAATGGCGGATGTTTTTTCGGGTTTCCATAATAACCGATTTTATTTTTAAACTCTGTTTAGGTGTTTAGCACTTGCGTTAATGTTCCATATATGGCAAAAGTATTTTTAATGCTTCAGATTTTACACAGTAAAAACAGAAGAAACAAACTGAGCTTATCCCCTAAAGATATGCTTATTACATACTGAATGATCACTATGATAAATGCATTAGTTTTGTGCTAAGTCAAATGACAAGTTGTTACGATGTTGAGAAAATTTCGTTTCTAACTAAAAAAGGCTGCAATACATATATATATATATATATATATATATATATATATATATATATATATATATATATATATATATATATATATATAAAGTCTTGCAAACGCAGAACATATACTTTGCAAATCATTACACATAACAGAATCACACATGAACCATTATGGAACCAAATTTCGTTTCGATGAATAAGACTTTAAAAGTTATTTTAATTTGATGCGTGCACGATAATAAATACTGTATGTTTTCGTGAATATAGAAAATTCTCACTTTAGCCACTTTGCATTGAATCGTTTCCCTTAAAAAAAAGCAGTAAAACTCACAATCGAAAAGTCAACTATCGCACTTTTCAAAATGACCAAGAATTCTATAAAATATACCTCTGTTCCAAATTTTAATTCGTTGTAAATTCATTTTTCTCTCAAAAAGCAAATTCCATTTAGCATTCATTTGATCTTCGGCTGAATCACCCGTGTGCGAACAAGATCGATTTTCCAAATATTGTGAAGTGTTTCCGTCTACCGCCAGGTCGGAGTAAAAGTTAACGTATACACCAGTTTGATTCGTGTGTTGTTTTAAAGCCACATTGCGACCTGAGATAGAGGTGATAGCATAAATAAGTTGATGTATGCACCTAATCGATACGTCAATACTCTGATTGTGGTATTTTATGTTTTTAAGTTTTGGACCTGAGGTGAAGTAAATTGTATGTACGTATGTATGTGTTTTCAGCATATGCGATGTAGTGTTGTAAGTTCCATGCTCAGCCGCTTTTACTTTTCCTAAATTAATAAATACCAGTCGGGGATGAATGAGATGAGGCACGTCCTACAGATTTGGGTCAAGTACCCGAAGCAGTTACTTTTGGGACAGCTGTCGTGTGCAAATACCCACCTTCTCCCCTCAACCTTATCCAAACCTTCACATAGAAAAGTATTCAAAGTAACCGAAAAAAAAACGGAAAAAATCTTTTGATGAACACAATGCGAATTTTATATTGTTTGTATTAAATTAGAAATAGTGTTACGTTTAGAACTGCTTACTGGTTGTATAAAAGTAATGTATAGGTGATGTATTTTTTCGAAATCCCAAGCAAAGCTAGGAATAATGCCTATTAACATTAAGTACTTTAATAACATGAAACTCATAACAAATATTTTAAACATAAAAATTAATAACCTGTGTAATTTAACTATTAATAGCGAAGAGATGACTGGTGTTCTATCTACTATTTTAGCTACTAAAAACAAAGAAATCATTAACATTTGGTCGAGTATTACAAGACGTTAATATTTGTTTAATTGTAAATAATTGAGTTGCTTTCAACCTCCGCTAACGTAAATCGCACAAACAGATCTCTTCGGTTCAAAAGTTATCTCCACTTGATTTGATAAATTAGTTAAGTCGAAATATACATCCAGTGTTCTATTCTCAGGTTGATCGTTAAAAATTGAAGCGATGTCGACAATGACGTCACTGTTTTTAAACTTTTGGTTGACCACACATTTATCAGCATCACCTGTTTGTAAAATAAAAATTATATATATATATATATATATATATATATATATATATATATATATATATATATGTCAATGAGTGTGATCGATGGTTCCCAAACGGCTTTAATTTTTCCATATTTTAAAAAAGATTTTTTTGAACATTCAGTAATATTACATAGACTTTTCATGCTTCTTTTATAATTCCACTTTAAAACTCAGGAAAGCAAAAATTAAAAGAGATGTAATATTTATAGAGGGAGAGAAGGGACACACAGAGAGAGAGAGAGAGAGAATAAATTAAGAGTGCACTGAAAATCTAAAATAAAAATAAGTCCCAATAAGATATAGTTGACCTTTGAATTAGACCATAACATCCGAAGAATATAGTTAGAACATAGCATACATTAATGATTCATTTGGCCAGATCAGTCTACAGAGATCTGAAACGCTTTATATTAATTGCTTGTGTATATAAATTATACAAATGTGTTTTTTTTAAATTTCTTGGTGTGTTTAGTCAACTATTTCTAAAACGTACACGGCTCTTGTACTATCCTGATCCAATTGAAATCAAAGGACATGGTCCATGAAACAGTAATCCTGTCTAGCTGTCGAACGCACGTCTCACGACTGTCGTCCGTCAGATTTTGCTCTTTTGGCTCGATCGATTCTCTCTCGATTAGTAAGTCCACTGTAAATTGAACGAAATTGTCATTAGCTATTTTTGCATTGATCAGCTATGTATGCATTGATCAGCTATGTATGCATTGATAAGCTAGTTATGCATTAATCAGCTATGTACGCATTAATCAGCTATTTATGTATTAATCAGCTATGTATGCATTGATAAGCTAGTTATGCATTAATCATCTGTCTTTAAAACAAAGATAAAAAAAATATTTCTTACCATATTGACAGGCCGGACCAAACCAACCTATCGAACACTGCACACCATGAAGGCAGGCTCCTAGATAGTCGCAATTGTTTTCATTACAGTGACATTTATACTGACATCTCCCACCAAACCATCCGATATTACAGTCTAAAAGTTATATATATATATATATATATATATATATATATATATATATATATATATATATATATATATATATATATTCTAAACTGCAAAAGTAATGATGTAGATTTAAACTTAACCCAAACAATATGCTTGCAATTTTGTTGTCCTGTAAAGAAGGTCTACTTAAATATCGTGAAAAGAATTTTATGTTGTTTTTTAGCTTGATTTTTCCGTGATATATTAAACACCCTATTTTCCTATTTTGGTGTTATTGTTATCTTCATTTTAAAATATTAGTAATTAATTAATCTGTAAAATGCACTTAACAGCTACATGTTTTAATTTCGTGCCTACTGATAACAGTGATAGAAAAAAAAAGAATGAATAAAAATACGTTACCCGACACTACCTCTATCAACGGTCCTACAAGGAGTAAGATAAGCGTGGTTAATGTCATTCGGCGTAATGAAAAATCCATTCTTAATTCGATATTAATTCTTAAAGGCGTATGCACTGGGGAAATATTTTTTTAATTAATAAGATTTATTTTGTGTATGTGTGTATCTGTGGCACTTAAAGGAAAAAAATGGAAAAATTAAGTTAATAAAAAAATTGCACTTTAGAGAAAACACTCTATAACATATATAAAGAAAATGCATTATGTCGTTACATTTTACTTAATTTGATGTCTAATTACATTTCTATGAATTAATTTAAATGGCCGAAATAGTAGGCTGTCTTATCCAGCTATTCTGCATTATTATACTGGCGTTATAATGTTCATTACGTGCGCAATGGTTTTTAATCATGCGACTCTACTTAAAGAGAAAAAATTTACTGAAAAAAATAATTCATAAAAAACGTTTTAATAACAATATTTAAAAATATTTGAAATTAATTTTAAAAATAAATAAATTCAAAACGGAAGCAGTTAATTTTATTTTGGAGCAATCTTAATTATGAACTAGACTCGAGAAGCACACAAACGTGCAATTATTAAAAAGAAGAGTACATTAATGCACACAGGTACAACCTGCCCAACCGTAACCTCTTGGTGTCATCCATAAATGACGTCAAGCTTTTTTTTACGATTTTTACCTCCACCCTCCCCCCTGTCACACGTCGTCACAAAAAGCCAGACCCCCTCGAAAATGACGTCACACCTCAGCCTCCACCCCCCCCCCCCCCCTCAAAATCAAAATTGCTGTTGAGATTTTCTTAAAATCTTGTCAGAACTCTTTCAACATAGAGTATTTTGATCAATTCCTATTGCGATTTATTAATACATTTTCTAAAACGTGAAATAACGGCTAAAACTCGTTTTCTAACATTTGTTTTTTATAATGCAGAAAGTGACGTCACACCATCTGAACACCCCCTCCCCCTCATTACACACCGTCACAAAATTACAGACACCCCCTCCCCCTACGAGTGTGACGTCCTTTATGAAAGACCCCTATGTAACAGAGAAACCCACATCACAACGCAATGAAAATTTTGTTTTATTGTTGTAATTAGAACAAATGTTTGTTTTAGTTTAAACATTCCCAAGCTCTTAAAAGAAGAAATGTTTGATTTGCTAAAATTAATTACATTTTGTTATAACATATTTTATTGAAATTGAAGAAACACATTTATAGTCAATATTTAAGCATATAATTACTTTTACTTACTAAAACTGCTTTTTTGTAAAATTCCGATTATATCTCTTCACCGATAATATTAATCACAACATATAGATGTAGAATCTAGATCTAGTCTAGAGTAATCTATTAACAACACATTTCAAGTGATCTAAAATGTTGTTGACGTCTTTATTATCCTCTTGGTAACTTATGCGATTCGGTTGACGAGATAAAATATTTAGAACTTATTATTATTTTGACACTTACCTTTTTAGATCTTTATAAAAAATCATAATAATTTATAATGCATTGACAAGTTTTTAAAATATCAAGAAGACAATAAATTAGTGAAGAGTTATAGTATGAAGTTAACAATATGTATTGTTAATATTTGGTTTACCACCGTTTATGAACACACCAAAGTCGGCGCTTTAGAAAGTGCGCAAATAGTTGCAGCAAACTACTGGTACTGAAGAGCAATACGAACAAGTGTTATTTTAAAACCGAAGATAGCCCCTTGTACAGAATAAATTTCTAGGATAAAGAAATAATTTTTAGCTATATATGATCCTACCCCACCAATGCACAAAGCATTGAATCTACTATTAAAATTTGAAATTTCATCGACAAGAAGCTAGACATATTCCTTAAATCAACGATAAACATACCATAATGTACCCTAAGCCAAACTCAATAATCAGGCAAAGTCTATGAAATCATACTAAATATTTGAAAAAAATACTTTAAAAATTTGGCATACGATAAAATTATAGTTGCATTTGTAATCGTTAAAGCCGTTTGGGAACCATCGATTACTCGCATATGTTTCTATTTTTATATCGAATATAAGCTGTTGACTAGCCGTTTAAAATGATTTTATATATTCAAATATTTTCAAACACAGCCCTCAACTTCTTCTTGATGTCAACAACACTGGCCAGAGTGAGTAAAACAATTACAAGTCAGAACAATTGTTTTACATTATTAAAATGCACAAAAGTGATATATGGTGTACAAAGTAGTATTGCATTTATATTAAATAATATAACATCCCCAATCAGTACAACACCTAGACTCTATTAATCCAAATTAAAAATGAAAATGTTTGCTAAATTACTGTTATATTACTACTAACTATTTTTACTTTCTCATATATACGAAGTATAGAGGAAGTCTTGTAATCGTGCAAAATATAAACCGGGAGTGATCGCCCCTAAACTTTCTCGAATATTCTTATATAAAACAACAGGGGATGGGAACTCGGGCTATAGACATGATTTTTAATCCATTTTAAATACTTAAAGTGTTAAAAATAGAATAAAATCTCGTAGACAAAAGAATTGCACACAGAGTGAACGCCAAATAAAAAAGTGCATAATAGTGCGCAATATTATTAGTACTTTAAAAATTTACATTAGTTTTTTGAAAAATCGGAAGTAGCGTAAATTACTACTTCCGGTCAACGGAAATTACTCAAAATTTAACAGAAGGTAGAGAATTAGATCTTACTAGGCATGCTGCTCAGCTTCGCTTAGGCTTTCGAAAACATTGAGAATTTGAATGCTTAATTAATTCGACCATATAAGGCGCCGGTCAGTCGAGGTCAGTTTTGACCCCCTCAGCGTAAACTTTTCGGCCAACCGGCCCCCGTGTTCTTTCGCCCCAAGGCAAGATCCTGCCAAATTTGAAGCGCCTGCAGCGCCGGGAAGTGCCCTGTCGGGCACCCGACAACTTAGCTTTATAGATCATCTAGATCTAGATCTAGATCTAGATCTAGATCTAGATCTAGATTGTAATTGTAATAGTAACTGTAACTGCAACTGCAACTGCAACTGTAACTGTAACTGTAACTGTAGTTGTAGCTGTAGTTGTAGTTGTAGTTGTAATTGTAATTGTAATTGTAATTGTAATTGTACTTGTACTTGTAATTGTAATTGTAATTGTAATTGTAATTGTAATTGTAATTGTAATTGTAATTGTAATTGTAATTGTAATTGTAATTGTAATTGTAATTGTAATTGTAATTGTAATTGTAATTGTAATTGTAATTGTAATTGTAATTGTAATTGTAATTGTAATTGTAATTGTAATTGTAATTGTAATTGTAATTGTAATTGTAATTGTAATTGTAATTGTAATTGTAATTGTAATTGTAATTGTAATTGTAATTGTAATTGTAATTGTAATTGTAATTGTAATTGTAATTGTAATTGTAATTGTAATTGTAATTGTAATTGTAATTGTAATTGTAATTGTAATTGTAATTGTAATTGTAATTGTAATTGTAATTGTAATTGTAATTGTAATTGTAATTGTAATTGTAATTGTAATTGTAATTGTAATTGTAATTGTAATTGTAATTGTAATTGTAATTGTAATTGTAATTGTAATTGTAATTGTAATTGTAATTGTAATTGTAATTGTAATTGTAATTGTAATTGTAATTGTAATTGTAATTGTAATTGTAATTGTAATTGTAATTGTAATTGTAATTGTAATTGTAATTGTAATTGTAATTGTAATTGTAATTGTAATTGTAATTGTAATTGTAATTGTAATTGTAATTGTAATTGTAATTGTAATTGTAATTGTAATTGTAATTGTAATTGTAATTGTAATTGTAATTGTAATTGTAATTGTAATTGTAATTGTAATTGTAATTGTAATTGTAATTGTAATTGTAATTGTAATTGTAATTGTAATTGTAATTGTAATTGTAATTGTAATTGTAATTGTAATTGTAATTGTAATTGTAATTGTAATTGTAATTGTAATTGTAATTGTAATTGTAATTGTAATTGTAATTGTAATTGTAATTGTAATTGTAATTGTAATTGTAATTGTAATTGTAATTGTAATTGTAATTGTAATTGTAATTGTAATTGTAATTGTAATTGTAATTGTAATTGTAATTGTAATTGTAATTGTAATTGTAATTGTAATTGTAATTGTAATTGTAATTGTAATTGTAATTGTAATTGTAATTGTAATTGTAATTGTAATTGTAATTGTAATTGTAATTGTAATTGTAATTGTAATTGTAATTGTAATTGTAATTGTAATTGTAATTGTAATTGTAATTGTAATTGTAATTGTAACTGTAACTGTAATTGTAATTGTAATTGTAATTGTTAACCCGAATGTCTTTATTTTGGGCTTGAGTCTTGCAACGTTCCTTAGTAAACCTTCCTCTAAAGGCAGTTCATCCGACTGACAACACTCTATTCGAGCTCACTGAAGCAGATGAACTCTACTTTCTCTACACAATAGATAACCAGTTACCGAATCGAATTGATTAGAAAGGTATTGAAACCAATGCTTCTAAAATAGTGCAATCTGTTATACACAGTAATTACGATGCCAACATATTGATTTAAACTGTTATGATTTATAGATTGTGAAAATCCTATATAACTGTTATCTAAAAATATTCATTTCGTGATTTAGATAGCTTCATCACTACAGTATTTAATAAAGTTTAGCCGAGAGTATTTAATCTGAGATTTAAAAAAAAATACTTAGTAATGTTATTCAATTTCTGATTTAAAATGACGCTTTATGAGCCTTAAAGTGTAGAAAAAATTACACATTTAATTCTAAACTTGTAATTTTTTTTGAAAGTTTTCAAATTATTCAATATAACCAGAAAAAACAGAAGAAGCTTTAAAGTATAGAAAAAACATCATATTTAATTCGATTTTCGTTTGTTCTTGTTTTTGTTTTTACATTTTTAATAATGCGCTTTTTATATTCTGTAGTAACCAGAAAAAAAAACAGAAAAAAATATTGATAAGTTTCAAAACACAATATACCGAAACCAAAGTTTTAAGCTGTTACGTATTTGTGTTCATTCTTGAAAACGGCATGCGGTGTGGCGTCTTTTCTATGAACGTTCAGTACCAATTTACTTGTAGAATGATTCAGATTTTAAAAATATTAATCCAATATATAGGTATCAGACACTTGTCAGTAAAATCCAAAGAGTAATTGTTCATTAATGCAATATTGAGTAAACATCTAGTTTTTTTTAGCGCTGAGTGGACGAAGACTCTACTTGAACAGGATTTGAATGTGTTTTTCTGCTAATTGATAGAGAAGCGAGACAGTTATCAATCTGCAACGCATTCACAAAGGCAATACTTAGAAATATATCAAGTTTTATATTTTATAATATTACATTTAAATAGTAAATTTACCTTCTTGAACAGATTTGCATGAATACCAAAACGCCTACCAAAAATATACTGAAAATTATGAAAACTTGCTCATCCAATGTAAGTAAATTTTGTTTCGGTGAAACAAAAGCTTCAGTTTTATTTTCCAAAAAATTTGTAGGTGTCATGATCGTTGAATTAACTAAAAAAAAATTTCATTACATATTTTATTCGCAGACATAAGCTTAAGAATATATGTAGAAGATATAAATACAACCGTACGCAAATATGCACGTACACACATACATGCAAAAGTACAAGTACGCTTGATATATACCATCTTATCTGCTCAATAACGGTTAAGTGATATGCAAGAAATTAACCTTGTAATAGAATCTAATCTTCCCATTTATTTAGAACTTTTTTAAAAGACAATTTCAGGTAACTGATATTAATTGCTTAATCAGACCTTAACGGTTTCTTTTTAAATTTATTTCATACTTGAAAATATCCGCCTATATAATATGTTTGTACCTGATAATAAATCAAACGATAAATAAAAAATTAGGCTGGGTACTTACAATCGAGACAATACGACCCTGTGTGACCAGGTACACACAACTTGCAAACACCGGTGAACTGGCAGTCTTTATTTTTGCAGGTCATTAAACATACTTGATCACAGTCTGGGCCATAATATCGTGTCGTGCAGTCTATGAAACAAATAATAATCATTAACTGCAATGACAGAAGTGAATATTGCATTTTTAAACAATCGAAAATAAATGACCGATTTATTATATGTTATAATACTTTGAAACGTTGGAAGTTATTTAAGTAAGGTTTTTTTAATGTAATAATTTCGTATTCATTTAATTTGAAAAATATAGGATTTTTTTTAATTTACGAGACAAAAGCCTAAAATAGCTAACTTAACTTAATGGATATTCACACCAAAGAGATTTATGAAACATTTACCACCAAAAACTTGTAATTCACACAATGAAATCACGTCGCTCGCAATGATCAATAGTTTCATCACCCTTCCACTTTTTAGAATGTTTATCTTATATGGCAGCGAAAAACTCTCAATATTTTTTGTAAAAACTAAATGGTTTTCATCGTTGTACAGCTCGACTTTAAATGTATGCATTGATGTTATTCGATTTCCTAGAAATAAACGTTAGAAATAAAAACAGCTTTTATTTATTTAAATTTTTTTCTTCATATCTTACATATTTTAATAACTTTAGGTTACACAAATTATTAACTAATTATTATTTTTTAAGAATAGCAGGCAAATTAACCATTCTTACCAGAACTATAGATTAAAATTTGATAAATAACTCTTGGCCATTCAAACGTTGATTCCCAAATAAACTCTTTTCCCGGTTCGACAATGGTGAAACAACGGATGTCATCTTTGTCATCATCAAATACTCCTTGCAAATGTGTAGCAGCAGTTAATGGGAGTCGTTGCCCATTCGAATAAATTACTATGTTAGACTCTTTAATAATATTTCTTCCTGGTTAAGTGTTAAAGTTTAAAATGTAAGCTTATTTAAACTAAATTGTAGTTTACCACACAAACACAAACACAAAAACACACACACACATATATATATATGTATATATATATATATATATATATATATATATATATATATATATATATATAATATGTTACGGTCAAAGCCCGAAGTGCGGCCAAACCCCGGATTGGCCGGCCAATGCGCGGAATGGCCGGCTCTCTTGGCCAAAGCCCGAAGAACTTAGAACTAAGATCGTATTTCGTACATTTGCCGGCCAATGCGCGCACTGGCCGGGACGTACTGGCCAAAGTCCGAAGTACTTAAACTTGACAGCGTATTTTGTACATTGGCCAATGTTGTATCTAGACTAAGTTGTGATCGCGTTTTAATTATTCTGGGTGCGGTTTCATTGTGGGTAACGTATTGTTTAGCTCTTGTTTGTATAGCATTCTATATGCAAGCCGACATGGATCAAAAGGGCCGCCAGACCATGAGACAGACATAGCAAATGGCTGTCAAAAGAAAAAAATGCAAATATCGAACCAACGTTTGACATGAAAACTATGTTTTTAGATCATATGACTACAGTACTGCATGAAAAACCAAACAATAGCTTTATTCTCAGCAAAGACAAATACATTGCTATTATAGAGGACGTTAAACAGGCTAAAGCAAAGCAGACAAAAAAAACTGTTGACTATCGTCGACTAAACAAATATGATGTTATTGAAGTTGACGGTAAAGAAAAACTTATTGTACCACTAACAGAAGACAATGGTGCTATTTTGTACTATGTGCACTCAGAAGAGTTGTTCGACTTGATCAATGAAACTCACTTGAAAATCGGACATGGAGGTCGCACAAGGATAGAAAAAGAGCTCAAGAGAAAGTACAAAAATATCACCAAAGAAATCATTACTATGTATCTTCGGTTGTGCAAGCCTTGTCAGACAAAATTGTCTAATCCCAAGAAAGGTCTTGTTTCCAAACATTTGATATTTAAAGAATTTAACTCAAGATGCCAAGTAGATCTTATTGATATGCAAAGTAACCCAGACGGCAAATACAAGTTTATACTCAGTTTACAAGTTTATACTCAGTTACCAGGATCATTTAACCAAGTTCATATTGTTGCGAGCTTTGGAAACCAAAAGAGCAGAAGAAGTTGCTTACCAGCTGCTGGATATCTTCACGACTATTGGTGCCCCAAGTGTGCTTCAATCAGATAATGGAAGAGAATTTGTGAATCAAGTTATTTCTGAACTAAAGAACATGTGGCGTGAACTTTAACTAGTTCACGGAAATCCAAGGCATAGCCAAAGCCAAGGTTCAGTCGAATGTGCCAACCAAGATGTTCAAAACATGATGATGACATGGATGCAAACAAATGAATCAGCTCATTGGGCTGAGAGTCTCAAATTCATTCAATTTATGAAAAATCGTTCTTTTCATCAAGGAATCCAACAATCACCATACGAAGCCTTGTTTGGATGCAAAGCAAAAGTGGGACTTAGCACTTCAAATCTACCAAAAGAGGCTCTCAATAAAATAGTTACTGAGGAAGATCTTGAGAACATTGAACAAGAAATGGAGGTTGCCATAAATGCAACTACATCCTCAGCTAACACATCTACTGCCGTGGCGGAACGTCCAGACCAGTTGCGTGACAATAATGTGGCCAACAGATTCTGTATAGTTTGTGAAAAACATTGTAGTGCAGCTCAATCTTGTGGATCCTGTGGCAAAGATGTCCATGCTATTTGTGGAGTACCCAATGAAGCAGACGAAGGGTACGGAGGGAACATTACCTGCAGATTGTGTCACAACAAACAAGACATCATGGAACACAGGTCAGCAGCTCATACTGGCTTGCAAAATCAAGGTGCTAAGGTGCTGAAAACATCAAATACAAAATTTAAAGATGGTGAAGTGGGTGACAATGTACGCATCCGTGTTCCAGATGCTGACAGAGGTCGCGGTGATCCCCGAAGCGTGATTGCAGTTGTCATGAGCGTCGAGGGCGGTTTTTACAAATTAGGAACGGAACATGGTTTTCTAAAACAACTGTATGCTAGAAGTGAGTTTTCAATTCTTCACGAAAAACTGCTCTTATTGTCGTCAGTTGGCACTGAGGAAAAATCACTACGAACCATCGCATCTTCACAATCATTGACTGGGGGCCAAGGCTACACTCGCTGCAATTGCACAACCAAGTGCACAACAAATCGCTGCAAGTGTAAAAATAACAAGCTGCTATGTAATTCTAATTGCCATACAAGTTCAACTTGTTGTAACACATGATAATATTGATTGATTGAGACTATAATTTGAATGTTTCTGTCATTTACTTTAATTAATAATCAATAAAGACTTAATTTCATGATCCTACCGGCATAAAAAAAAACCAAAATCTGCTCATGATCTTCTAATTAAGACTTTGGCCGGTCCACCATAGCCAGTCTGCGGATTGTCCGGCCAAAGGCCGAAATGAAGCAAAGTTTCGGACTTTGACCGACCTATGGGAGGCGATATTGGCCAATGCGCGGATTGGCCGGCCAATCCTAGCATTGGCCGACTTTGGGCTTTGACCGTAACATATATATATATATATATATATATATAAATATATATATATATATATATATATATATATATATATATATATATATATATATATATATATATATATATATATATTGCAACACTTACCGCCATTCACTATTATGCCACAAACTGAGACAAATGAGTTCAATGTTATGTTAATTTGAGTCACACCTTCGTGTGACATTAGTTTCTGGTGAATTTATGTTTATAAAAGTCAGAATCGGAGCAGCAGTCACAGAGATTAGGAAATGTGAATTTAGGACATGTCAAGCAAGAGTTCTCACAATATATTGTAACATTACATTATAATGGAGAGGTGCGATCATAACAATATACCTGCCGGTATAGAAACGTAAGCGTTATGTTTGTGTTGCTGATGCAATAAAAACAATAGTTTTACTATATGAACACAATTCGCGTGTTTTGAACAACAATGTTATTTAGCTACCGTTACTTTATTTGTGTTATACATTATCATTTATTTATTTATTATGCATTTCATGAGTTGGTTTTAATTTTTGCTTTTTCGAATCAAATGCTATTACAAAGATTAAATTTAATAAATATTTTGATGCCTTGTTAAGTTTAAGAAAATCATTTTATTTACAATTATTATGCGTAAAAAGGAAACGAAACCATTTTGACAGTCAATAAAACAAATTTAAAATCAACTAAAATCATCGTACATATTATTAAAATTTTGCTGTGAGATATTTTGTCTGAGATCATTTGTCCATGATTTCATTTGTCCTGATTTATTTTGTCCTGGTATCTTTTGTCCGTGAGAAATTTTGTTTGAGATATTTTGTCAGAGATAATTTGTCCTGAGATCATTTGTTATAGAACCATATATGTATATATATATATATATATATATATATATATATATATATATATATATATATATATATATATATATAAATAATTTAAAAAACCTTGCGATAACGTACTCAAGTTATCGTGTTGACTTGACAGACAGACAGACATACATACACACATACACATGCAGAGACATACAGACAAAATTGCAAAAATATTTTTTTCAAACTCATTGACGTATGAAAAGATTGCGTTTTTTTTTGTACGATTACAATATACCTCTTAACTTCGTATACACGGAAAAAAAAAGAACAGGAATATTATATAATAGTGCCATTTTTGAAAGTTTTGTAAAATCGGGTCGTAAAAAAATACATAAATTATAGCATTCTAAACAGTATTTTTTCTCTTTACTAACCCATGTGGTATGAATGAATGATAGCAAATAAAATTTAAAGTCTATCATAAATCCAAGTCTCAAATTTGTAAACGCAATAAAAAATCAAATTACTTTTTACTTCGAATTTTATTAGAACTGATTTAAAATAAAACTCATCCATAAACTTCATCAGAATATGATTTGTGTATGAACAGCTTTCAGCTTTAAGTAAACTTGCGGGCATTGTTTGATTTGCAGAAAATGTAAGATCTCCTAAATCAACAAAATTATAAATAATAATTGTGAATTTTAATAAATACACGAATACTCCAATAACCAATGAACTATTGATCAAATAAAAAAAAATGATTTAAGAACGGATGAGAGGTTAACATAATAGAAATAACGTATGTATGAGTGGCTAGGTAATTTATTTTAATTTTACACATTTTCTTAGCCTGCAGTGATAGCACATTTTTGTCTTAAAGTAATGGGTTAGTGATATATGGGGAATTTATTTTAGCTTAATGTTACTTAGCTTATGTTTTATCTACATTTATTGAGAATCGTCTGCACATATTGAGCTATTTAAATTGGTTTAAATACACACATGGGGATGGATAAGTCGGTTTCTGAATATAGCGTAACGAGAAAATGCGAAAAGGAAAAATGCTCTAACAGTAAATTACGCACACAAAAAATATGTAATGAGATAACTGCGCAATAAAAAAAACCACTCAACTTCAGAACTTCGTACATTGAAAAATGTGTAAATAGAAATATGTGATACTGGTTATTTTTTTTGTTTAAATTCTTGTTTATATCTTAATTTATTTGACATAACAACGCCTAATACTTACTGTATACACAATCAGGACCATACCAGCCCGACTGACAACCATGGCCTGAAGACATTTCTGAAGAGTTATAAGATTTTAACAATTTTAAACAGTAGATCATTAAGACTAAAGAAAAGGATGTAAAGTAAACACAACACACCAAGAAAAAAAAGAGGGAGTTATCTCCCGTAAACCTTTGCGAATATTCTTATATGAGACATGGGGGGAATATCAACTCGATGCATAGAC